TTCCTATCAAAAATATGTACAACTTGTCAACTATGATTGACAGTAGCTAAAAATAAGGTTAACAGTCCTAAAGCATGCTTTACAATTTATTGTCACTCAAGTGACATTGACGACCAAAGTATTTTGTCTCCAACTGTATACCTACGTAAAAATCTTTAATAAGTAATAACCGCTCTAGAAAAAGCTTTATTTTTTACAAAAATTTACGCATATTTTTGCTTACCTAAATACACCTAAAAATTTATGATTAGTAACTATAATGACGGTGCAATTTTTTTTTTACTTAGATAAAATGATAATTGACGATAATCAGTAATAATTTATCGAATTTCTCTTCTCAATCAGATATTTTCTCTATTTTCTGTTGGCGTAATTACTGCCTCGCAAAGCCTTAATGTTGATCTAGCGTGATTTCTCTTTTTTAATGTTTTTTTTTTCACTTTAGTAAACCTAAACTCAGCAAATATTAAATATCCTGCAAATTATTATTATTACTTAGCATTTTTTGCTATTTTAAAATGTTACTAAAAAATATTATATTTAACTGCTTGCAGATAATTATTAATGTGTCAAACGCTTGTTAAGGCTTTTACCCCGCGTTATCCCGATAATAATTAAAGTCAGTAAATAATCAGTTTATTGATCATTATTTCATTGAATATGCGAAGTGTGTATATATTTCGTTAAAATTATGCTTAATTGTCTCTTTATTTAATTACTTAAAGTTAACTAGTAGGTATTATAATTTGCCTTTAAAACTCTGATGGATAAGTTTAAATTTCAATTCAAAACAACAACAAAAAACATCCTTATTGATAAAAACTTATTAGAAAATAAATTTGTACTGATTGAATTATCTAAAATTCTAATCAAGGTCAATTGTTTAACATAATTTCATATGTTATCTCGAAAGGTCGCCAAAAGGTTTTTTCTACTTTATCATTGTATGCTACAATGGTGACAAAAGCAACAACGAAAAAAGCTGTCCGCCGTGAGATTACCGAACGGCTCAAATGCCTGTCTACTGAAGAAAAACAAACTCAGTCAAAAATAGTTTTCGAAAAGGTGAAAACTCAGACACTGTTAACATTCAGCACTGAACGCTTTTATTACAGTTAATACATTTGCCTTCGTTTCAAAAGAGCAAACGTGTGTCAACATATTTAAGTATTGACAATGAAATTGATACGGAGCCAGTCGTGCGAAAAATATTTGAAACGGGAAAAGAATGTTTTGTTCCGAGGTATGTACTGTAAAGAGCACAAACCCGATTTTAGTTTGTTATTTTTTTTGAATAGATACAGTAAAGCTGGGATGGAAATGGTAAAGATAAACTCGTATGAGGATTGGCAGACCTTGCCGGTGACCAGTTGGGGGATAAAACAGCCAAATTTGAAGGAACAAAGAGAGGATGCTCTAAAGACAGGTAAGAGTGATAAATTTTAGTTTGTCGGAATGCTGGTTTTGTAAATACAGGTGGCTTGGATTTTATTGTTGTTCCGGGTGTCGGTTTTACCGCCAAAGGACTTAGACTCGGTCATGGGGGTGGTTACTATGACAAATATTTGGTAGAGATCAAGAAACATCAAGATGTTCCACCAGCCTTGGTAGCTTTGGCTTTCAAGGAACAAATCGTTGATGATTTACCAGTTACGGAGATGGACGTACAAATCGATCTTGTTTTATATCCTGAATAAAACAATGTTATCAGCTGTATATCTTTATATACATGTACATTTAATATAAAATATAATTCCCTGTACCAAGCCAACACTATGATACAAATATATAAATACAATTAATAAAATCAAGTCCTTGTCATTAAAGAACCCTTCAACACTTATAATAAATTCACTAACTTTAACGTGACAATACTGAAGCACATTTATTAGGCCAGATTTTTAAGTGCAATACTATTGGTCTACTATCCTATTGTCATCACAAGATCAGGTCAAAAATTATGGAATAAGTCCCTACTTGAGATTCAAATCATTTGGCGAGATTTATTATAATATCAACAAACACAACCTTATGTAACAGTAATTTGTAATTCCTTGTTACTTCGATCCTGAAAATCTTACACAAATCTGCGTTTTGGAAGCGACAGGTAGGAGTTTGTAAGATCTAAGGCCACTATTTGGCTAAGAAAGCAGGATCAAAGTACAAGGTAAAAAAGGTTGTCAAGGCTGCGATGTAAAACTGTTTTAGAATTATTTGGCTGTTGTGATAAAAGCAGCATTGACAATATTAAAGAAAATTGGACAAGTTTCGTTGAATGGAAATTATTCCGATCTGTTCATTGCACCACCTTGTGCAACCTCTTCGATTTTACGGTCCCAGTAAAAACTAGATGTGCTCTGCAATCTCTATTTACAACCCACAATATTGTGAACTAGAACAAAGCACCTAAAAATTAATTGCCCAATCTTCTTAAAATTAAAATTTCAATAACTGTATGTAACAACACTTAGACTTACCAATATTAAAATAAATACGTAATTATACACAATTAGATCCAGTACGAATATTAAAGCTTTTTTATACTTACTACTGTGCACTTTTTCTTATATACGTCATACCAACTTAATTACTAAAATATTGAGTATTTTTTATAACTACGTAAAACAATTCAAACCAGTACTTTCAAATATAAAAGTATTCGGCGTTTAACAGGTCCCGTTTACTGATTTCGAAAATACTGGCGTAAATCATCTTCAATCAAGAAAAACAAGAATTTTCTCAATAACAATAAAATTAAGAAAAACTACGTTACAAAATAATAAAAAACAATATAAAAAATAAACTATATAATAATAAGTAACTGGTGTACTTAAGTAGATTCATTTAAAATGAAACCATTCAAGAAGTGTTCGATAAAACATCTGTGACTAATTAGTGAGGGAAAGTCGAAGGTGACATCACAGAAAATTTTTATCGAGAAACGTTAAGTGTGCTCTAGCAATTCCATAGAGATTTTGAGCTGCCTAGGTCTTCATACCTCGTAGGCACTTTTTAACATTGTGAAGCCAACCTTTCTCAGGTCAAAGCTCCGCCCTGTATCGCTCCCATCGTGCATCATCCGATTCGTGAGTCAAGTACCGAACGCTTATTTGGTTCTCCAATGTTCGCAAATCGCACCAAGTTTGATAGTCCTTTCAAAGAAAATTGCATTGAATTTTTTTGCGTGGAGCAATATTGCAACATTTCAAATTAACAAATGAAAAAAAGAACAGAAGCATTACGTAGCTGATTGCGAAATGGTTCATTCAAGATATGTGACAAAATAAATACATTCTGTGATTTTAAAACTTACCTGCAACCAAATATGTTGCAAAGATTTATCAACAGTATAACGTTTCCTCTGCTTGACTTGTAGCAAATTATTGATGAGATCAATAGCTGGAAATTGTCAATAAAAAAACAATTTTCAAACTTATGTAGTTTTACCGTCTGATGAGATTTCTTTCCAGGGATTTGGAGGGTACATGAATGCCGCATTCTGAATTTGTTCGTTAATATCTTCATCCTCATTGAATGGAAATGTTCCACTCAGACTTACGTAAACTATTACACCCACACTCCACATATCCAACGATCGGTTATAACCCTTGTTGCGAAGAACTTCTGGCGCTAAAACGTAAAAATAAACAATGAATTTTCTAAATCAGTAATCATGTTACCGAGATATGCTGGAGTTCCAACCACAGACCTGCGAAACGACTTTTCACCAATAATTCGAGCAAACCCAAAGTCACATAATTTCACTTGTGGAAATTCAGCATCCGAACTCAAGAGAACATTTTCCGGTTTCAAATCACAGTGAACAATATTTTTACTATGCAGATGTTTTAAGGCTATCAGAATCTGAGTAATTAAAAATTTCGTAACCCGTTCAGTTAAGCGCCCTTTTTCGTGAGATAAAATCATTTCCAACATATCCCCTTTTAATTTTTCCATAACCACAAAAATCCTCTCGGGTGTTTCAAACATCCGTTCTAAATTAACAACACCTGGATGTGACAGGTTTTGTAAAATTGCCACCTCATTTTTTAGTTGAGCTTCTTGTTTAGTAGGAAATCTCAACTTGTCTATCACCTGTTGAAAATTAAATTTTAATGTAAATTTAAGCCGAGTTTAATGGGACGTACTTTAATAGCCACAGGCCTTGTGGTTTTTCGGTGAATCCCCCCATAAACAATACCAAATTGACCCGAACCCAAAACCTCGTCTGGATATATTTGATAGATTTGGCTCATGTCCATTATGTGTTCCTCACTTTCGTTTGTTTCTTCCGCTTCTAAACAAAATAAAAAAAAATCACAAACAGATTTAGAAAAAAACCTTACTTGGACCAGATGTAACAGGCATCAAAGCCTGCCTTATAGAAGTTTCCCAACTTTTGGCTAAATAAGCCCCAACTCCGCTATCTGGCGGTGGTAAATTCACATTGTTACCGTCTTGAAGGTCATACAAAGGGTCCTGACCCACGAAATAATCAACATTTGCAGTCCTAATTTCAAAACAATGCATCACTTCTAAAAATTAAATTTTACTATAAATTAAACGGATATAAAAAATCGTACCGGCTTGTTTAGATCGTGCCGAATCGATCGTTAAAATTTCCGAAAGCGGAATTTCTTTGTAATACTTTGAAGTGTGGTCATTTTGAAATAAAAGAATTGACTTTGTATCAAGACGCCAGAAGTGACGTCGCACCATACGATCTTTGTTAGTAAAATGTACAAGCCAGCCCTCTTTAATCACCTTGGAGCCCCTTCTTTTTGTGTGTTTTACTGACTGTACTATTCGTTGTAATGGAATGTTGGCACTGGGAGAGGAGGAAGAGCTACAACTAAATCTTTAATTGAAAAACAAGCCCAATTTTATTGGTTTAAAATACCTGGAAGGAATAGAATCGTTGTCGTCATCGTGAACTGGAATAACTTCAATATATTTGTTAGCACCATTCAGTTTTTCGTCTTCGTTTTCATCTTCGACCAAAGTCAAATGGCACTGACTGTCGTTACTGGCAGAGCTGTCGGCGTAGTCGTAATTGCAAGAATTTTCTTTTGGTACTTCACCCGTACAATCTTTCGGTACTTTATCCATACATTTTTTGTGTGCGTTGTAATTGCAGTCTTTGCACTGAAGACCTTGTTTGAAAAGTCCTTTCAACAGTTTTTTACAATGCTGACACACTGTCGGTCTTGTGTAAGTGTGCAAGACGAACGTGTGTGGAATTTTTACTCTGCTTGACATTTCTTTCTCTACCCATGCCGGTCGGCCCCCGAGAGATGGTGACCTGTTCGGTGCCTGAAACTACATTTCACTTATGCATTTTCATGGAAAATATTTGTGGGGTGATTGAGTGAATGATTTTTTGTGGCGGTTTTTAACTGGGTTAAGGTTCGTCTTAAATCGGTTCTCGAATAAAACAAAAAATACATTAAATAAAATATATTTAAACAATATACAAATAAAAATATAAATACAAACTGAAAACCTCCACCACTTTGCGGCGTTTCATATGGACGGAATTGGTTAATAAAATACAAAATAAAACGCTGCTAACAATATAAAAAAACATCAAAAATATATAAAATAACAAAAAATGTAAAAGTTCTACAAAGTATCAGATTCTTAATCTCCTTTTGTTCAGACAAAACTTAATATTTGTTAGTAATACTGATCAAGAACAAATAAAAAATGGGATTTTTAAAAACCTTATTGACTTTCTACTCATAGGTTGTTAGTTGTATAAAATACTGGAATGTGATTAAGTACGGTTCATTTGTCAAAAACTCAATCCTTGAGACTGACTCCCCCAGTAAAAAAATTTGCAAGCCTTACCAATCCACTATCCTCCGTCTGTGTTGAATTTGCGGAAGCTAACGATGAATTGGAACCTCCTGAAGGGCTTCGCGGAACTTGCAGAGTAGTAGAGCGCCTCCTTTGCTTGTCTTCCAAAAGAGTATATGAGCAGTTGTTTGGAACTTTCACCACACATCTCTTGTGATAATTTTGACCACATCCTACAAAATTGTATGTAGCTTCATAGTATAAAAAAGTACACAATTACCTTCACATTTGAGACCCTGGCGAACTAGCCCAAACAACATTTCGCCACAAAAGTCGCAAAACGTTGGTGTTTTGTAAGAATGAACTGAGAGAGCATGCGGTCTGACTATTATGATTTCTGGAGTAGAAACAACTAAAATAAGTAATTTAGATTAGGTGTAAGTGGGAGGCAAATTTCAACCTTTTCCAGTCAATACAATCTCAATCAGAGTTTCATCAACAATTTCTGATGCCGAGTTGATGAACTGAAGAATGTTATTTGAGTTGTATTCATGTCTGAATAGCAAAAGACGATCTTCCAGCCTGTTGATCCCGTGGTCAGGAATCTGCAATAATATTTCTTGCCTTTCTGTGGTTATAAACTAACTAAACACTTACTTTTGAGTTTATAAAATTGCAAGCTAAGTCTTTAATTGTTTTAAGATTCAAGGATGCTACTGGAACTGTAATTGCATCTCGAATTAAACCAAATTGAAATAGGAACGTCACTTCTGGCCCCTGACCATCCATTTTTACCTAACTGTATTCAAAAAGTCATAAAATCAAATTCGTGAATAAAGCGCAAAACTATTTTAACAGTTTTTTTGTAATATGCAAAACTACTTAAACTTGTGTCAAGAGCATTAATAACTACATAATTAACAAATGTTATTTAAAATTTGTAATAAATCTGATAGTACCGTTAGACAACACCTCTGGTCTTAAAATTATTTCGGATACTTACAACATTCGTACCTATTGACGTAAATATTTACACTGGTTGTACTAATTACAACTAACCATTTACAGGCAATTCACTATTTACAATAATATAAAAGCATTAATAAATGGTTTGTAAAAACAACCTCTAAGACACTGTTAAATGACGTACAAACATGACAGATTGACAAATGACAACAAAACTAGATTCAGTATCAGCAACTGCATAAAAATAGCTACCAACTCATTCCAATATTTTTTTAAATTAAACTGCCGCTTGTTTATTAATAAAATACATAATACATAATGAGATAAAGAAACAAAAACAAATTTGTTATCGGACTTGATAAATCGTGATAACTCATGATAAATTTGCTTTTTAGATTTTTCGGAACTCCTTAAACAGTACGCCACTGTTGAACTCGGGTAGTTTCGTTTTTTGCCGAATTCTGTCATGCGCAGTAACATTTGGACGCGCCTGGAAAATAGTCCGCCTCCATTTTATGTATACGCGTGATAAAACGGTTGACGACGTTTCAGGGGCGTAAGTATGTTAAATTTTTTCAATCCATGCCTATTTTTCAACCTGTTTAAAACTTGCACATATGAGAATACCATGCAACCTAGTTTATCCAGTTTTGGGTGGAAGAAGCGCAGTATTCCATCGCTTTAATGGTAATTAAGAGAGAGCGATTTTAGGCTTGCCACAAACTTGGTTGCATTGGGTGTCATCATTTTCACTTTATTTTGTAAATAATAAATCGTAAACACAGCTGATTATGGGGGCTTGGGGTCTAATTCGGGTCGTATTTTTAGCAAATGGATGAAACTCTGAGTATTAAGACGGAAGAGTCACCTCAAAAAAATGAGGAAGCTGTTGTTTTACAAAATATCCCCATGGAAAGCGAGGAGATTCCCATCGTTTTTGGAGAATTAATTGAGAATAACTCTGATGGGAATCTTCAAATTAACAGTGTTCAAGAGGAAGATGTTATCCACACTTACATCATTCAGTATGTTGGCTTTATCGTAATGTCCTTTTTTTAATAAATTTAATTTAGGGAGGGAGAATATAGTAATATTCAATATGAGGAAACCACTGTAACAGAAACAGAAGATAAAGAAATAATAGAGAAAGAACAAGAAGAAAATGAAAAAGAGGATGAACACTCAGAAATCGACCAAGAACTTGATGAATCAAATTCTATGGATTATTCAGAAAGCTTTGTTGAACAGACTGAAGAAGCAGAAGATGACCCTGAGGACCATCCTGATTATGTTGATTCCCAAGAATTTGGCGACTTTGAATGTGATTTGTGTCAACGCAAATTTAAAACTACTGCTGTGAGTTTTTTTAAGTTAGAGTTTTTTTATATACTGTATTATATTTTATTAGGGCCTCAAAAGACACATTACCGTAAATCACGCTGAAGAAGAAGATTTGAAAGATCCTCTTACTTTTCAATTATGTCCTTGTTGTGGGGAACCAATGGATTCGGCCCATACTGTATAATTTTTCAATTTAATTGTAAGTTTTTTTAATGTGTTTTTTTAAGATTGGGGACTTTAAATGCGAAAAATGTGACAAACTTTTTGTCCAACAAAACAGCCTAGATCGCCATTACAGTATTGAGCATTGTGAAGGAGACATTTACAAATGTGTAGAATGCAAAAAAGAATTTAAGCAAAAAGAACAATTGATTGATCACATGAAAATTCATCCATTGTCCAAGTGTATAAAATGCCCTGATTGTAACCGGGAATTTACGCGCAAATATCATTTAGATCGACATATTGATCAGACTGGTTGTAACGGGGCTCCTAAAAAGACATTTGTTTGTAAGGTAGGTAAACTATGGTTTCGTAATTTGCAATTTTGATAATTTTATTTATTGAAATATAGGTTTGCAACAAAGTATTTCATCGCAAAGATAATTTAGCTGATCATTTGAGAGCTCACGCTGGTCAGGGGAAGAGAAAGAAGCTTTTTATTTGTGAATATTGTCAAAAAGAATTTCACGGCTCTGCTCTACTTAATATTCATGTGAGAACTCACACAGGTAAATATGTGACAGTTTCTATTTTACAAATTTTAATATGATAAACTCAGGTGAAAAACCTTATCCTTGCGATTTGTGTCCTAAGAGATTTCCATCAAGTGGCGCTATGAAGAAACATAGAAGAATGCATACTGGAGAAAGGCCATATTCATGTAAAGAGGTATGTAATAAAATTTTATTTAAGATCTATTCGCCAAAGGTAACAAAAATTAAAATTAAATTAAATTAATTAAATTAAAAAATACGAATACAATACATAAAATAAAAAAAACTTCTCCGGGTTTAGGATTATTGCAAATTCTATTTTCCAGTGCCATAACAGATTTGCCGCTAAAGAGACCCTCAATCGGCACATGCGCACTCACACCGGCGAAAAACCGCATTCTTGCCAATTCTGCGGGAAATCTTTCATCCAGGCATCGCAACTGCGTGCTCACATTTTCCATCACACTGGTGAAAACGCGTACACCTGCCCTCACTGCAACCGAGCTTTCAACCGAAAATTGAGATTGACAACTCATATTAAATATATGCATGAAGGAGCCGAGCCTTTGACGTGCTCCGAATGTGATAAAACCTTTTTCAGAAAAGAAGATTTAGCCCGGCACTTCTTATCACATACTGGAGAACGACGTAAGTATTTTTTATTTTACCAAAAAGTGAGATTAAATTTTCTTGTGCAGCCTTCGAATGTGACGTTTGCCACAAATCTTTTGCCGTGAAATCTTCGTTGAAAATCCATCAATTGACTCACCGTAAAGAGCCACCGTGTAGTTGCGACACATGCGGCCGGGCGTTTATTCGTCAAGATTGCTTGATGCGGCATATGCGAGCCCGACATAGAGACGTTCTTGAGGATATTATGGCGAGTGCTGAGAAGAAGAGGCTGCAGCAGCAATTGTTGAATGCTGCGACTGAAGCTGTGGCCAAGAATCAAGGAAGTTTGACGGAAAATATGGTGTGGAATGAGTTGACTTTGACAGAGTCAATTAAGGAGTTATTGACTATTCTTGTGGATGAGGCTTGTTTGCAAGATTTTGGATTTCCGGATGCTCCAGTTGATAAAATTTTGGATGCAGTGATTAAGAGATGTGGGCATAAACCGGCCTCTGAGGAAGATTTTGATTATATTGGAAGAATGAGAGAGAATGCTAAATTGTTGTTTACCGTAGTTATTGATGATGAAGCAGTCAAGTCTTTATTGAATAATCAGACAGTGGATGAAGTAATCCTTCATGTCTTGAGGTTAGCAAAGGCTGAGAGTACTTAGAATGTTTTAGATAATTTAGGGTGTATTTTTGTAGTTAGATTTTAATAGTTTCTTCAATTGATTATGAATGTATGTACATAGTATCCAACGCTTTTTTTTCTTTCTGTTTAGTCACAATGATGTATTATGTCTTTATATTCACAATTATAAATTTATAGTTTATTGACATTTTTTATTTGGGTCGTAACATGTATGGGAGATATTGTTAATACATATTTTAATAAAGAAATATCTGTTTTATTTACCACCTGTTTATCTTATCACTAGTTTATGAACTGTATTACCCTGTACCCCCTGCGCCACATGGATCGGAGTTGTGGAGTACAGTCTTATGGGCAAACTCCACACCATGGTTTCAATAGGTATCTCAGATGGGGCTTGCCAACCACATTGGTCAAGTCCTGGTGATTCTAAATCTTTACTTGTACTCGTTACAAATTCAAAATGCAATCGCCATTTCAAAGTTACTAGAAATGTTACAATTAAATTATGATCTTAAAAATAAATTTGTTACACACCTAATCTCGTACTGAATGCTGGAGTAACATGAAGTGGAATTGGTAAAATGAGTTGCGTATATTTATACCCCAAGCAAACTTCATGATGTTTACTGAATGTAATAATTCTGACTTGTTTCGATTTTTCTTTATTTACATCAATTGTGGTTTCTTCTTCACACTGTAGAGAAACAGAGACTTGGACACAATTAACTGTTGCGACTGTGAAGTCAAAAGTCCCTATTATGTCTTCCCCAAGTTTGTAAGCAGGTTTAAAAAGACAAAACCGCGCTACTTTGCCCCAAGTATTTGAAATCATGTAAAAATTAGGATTACGTCTTGCTGTTATATTCTAGAATAATTAAATGAACTTTTGTTTAGCAATTTTAAAGTATTGATTACTTGTAATGTTTGCAATGAGATATCAAGAGATGTTTCCTTTTGTCTTATCTCTAAAAATGGATTCGCTGGAGCCAACTCTTCTGTTGTTTCATTACACAATGCACCAGCGTCATTAAGTGACACCTCGCACAAAGGTAACACTCTTATTGGTATTCTGAGTGTTTTAACAGGACTATTAACCCTTTGTGTTCCTACAATGATTTTATATGAGTATTTGACTAACTGTCCCCTGTAAGAAGGTGGAGAGTCTGATGGAACTTTCTCTCTATAAATATCTAGAAAACAGTGATTACACCAAATTAAAATATTAAGAAAACACTTGCAGGTCTTTGTCTGCCCTGGCGATAACCTCAAATCACAGAATAAAATTTTTGGCTTTGTGGCGATCTCTATGTGACCTGATTCCTGGCTAGTTGCCCCTAAAGCAGTATCAGCAAATGTGGGTTGTAGGCTTGATCTGTCCACATCTTTCTGTATTTTGGAGTCTGTAAAACATTGGCAGTGGATTTGGGCGGCAGCCCAGGCTAAACTTTCAAAAACATCGGTGTGACTTTGAGACACCCTGTGGGAAGCCAATGGTACATGACTAAATGAAATGCTGCACTCGACCGTTTCACCGGATAAAAATACATGACCGTGTAATAATTTTGCCGTTACTTCTATCATACTTAAAAAAAAACAGATTTCAAAAAAACTGTTTATTCTCAACAAGTGAGGTTAAATTTTGGTATTTTGGTGACGTATTGACACTTCGATTTTTAATAAGTACTTAATTCAAGAATTTTGTATTTCACGAAATGTATTTATTACAAATTTGAGAATATAAAGTGCTTAGTAGAATGGGTGGTTTTTTGATATTTAAAACAGTTTTGTTTGTAATATATTAACGTTGTAATTATAATAATAATAATTTATTATTATAAATTTTTTTTGTGGAGGTCCGGTAAGCGCGAATCCTATTTAACCTCAATTCCTCAGTGTTTACGATTAAGCTACAAGTGTTGTCGGAATTGATCCGAATTTGTTGCTTAATTGTGTATTCTTTTTGAATTGAATTGAATTAAATCGAGTATAAGGTGCATTTGTGAATTTACAAGAAGTGAGTGTTCCCAATTATGGCGAATAGGACCGTAAAAGATGCTAAATCTATTCATGGAACTAATCCCCAGTATCTCGTTGAGAAGATCATAAGATCTCGAATTTATGACTCTAAATACTGGAAGGAAGAATGCTTTGCTCTTACTGCTGAGCTTTTAGTAGACAAAGCAATGGAATTACGATTTGTGGGTGGTGTTTATGGTGGCAATATAAAGCCAACACCATTTTTATGTTTGACACTAAAAATGCTACAAATTCAACCAGAGAAAGACATTGTAGTTGAATTTATCAAAAATGAAGAATTTAAATACGTCAGAGCTCTTGGGGCTTTTTATATGAGACTCACAGGATCTTCTTTAGATTGTTACAAATATCTCGAACCTTTGTATAATGACAACAGGAAGTTAAGGCGACAGAGTCGTCAGGCCCAGTTTGAAATTGTACACATGGACGAGTTTATTGACGAATTGCTAAGAGAAGAAAGAGTAAGCGGTTTTTCTCTATTTTTTTTATAGTAGTAAATTGTGTTTTTAAAAGGTTTGTGATGTAATTTTACCACGTATTCAAAAACGGCATGTGTTGGAAGAAAGTAATGAACTGGAAGCGAAGATCTCTGCACTTGAAGATGACTTAGATGAAGAGATTGAACTTGAGGAAGAAAACAAATATGAGTTGGTGGAAGAAAAGCCTAAAGAGAAGAAAGATAGGGAGAGAAAACGGGAACGCAGTAGATCAAGAGAAAGACATCGCAGTAGAAGTAAAGAACGCCACAAGAAGGAGAAAGACAAGGAGAGAGACCGCGACCGAGAAAAGGAACGTGAGAGGGAGAGAAGAGACAGGGAGAAGGAACGAACTCGTGAAAAAGACCGCGAAAAAGATCGGGATCGTAAGGAGAAAGACAGGAAACGAGAAAGACACCATTAATGTTTCGATATATTGTTTTATACAATCAATAATTAAATACATCAACAAGTTTAGGATTGTGAATATCACAGATTAAGCCTATACCTTTAGATTACCAGGAAATTTACATATTTATAATATATACAAATTACTTTAAATGGAAACTTAAAAAGTGGGTGCATTGAGATGAAATAACTTTTCTTCTCGTTTCTTAATCCAGTTTAGTAGCCGTCCTACTGAATTAATAGCACTGTTTGTATCAATCAGAGGCTCGAAAACCACATAAAGTTCAAATCCTCGTGTATCCCATGCCAAAATAGCTTCATCTGAATATTTCTCAAATAACAACTTCAATGGTCTTGTTGAACAATGCAACAAGTTATGCGCCCGTTTATATAAATTTGTTAATCTGTTACTATATTTGGTGTATGGTGGACTTAAGCTTGGTTGATAAAACTGTGCTGTACTTTTACATTTATACAAATAGTGCCTAAGTTCTGGAAAACCAGCAACAATGCAAGTTTCTTCTTTTGTACTTAACGATTCGTTAATTGCTTCTAAACAGTTGCTACGTCGTAGTTTTTCTACTATACGTTGTTTTGCTTCACTTAGAGCAAAAAATACGTCTCTCTCTACTGTTAGCAGAAGTAAACAAGCTTGACAATCTTCAGCTAAATAGGATACATGGCCATATAAAAAACCACTAGCGTCGAATCGTGGAAGACATAAAGGTGTCCAACTTTCCGCCGTTTTAAGACTTTCCGAAGCTTGGACTAAGTTGAATATTAAATGAAGATCAGCCGGGTGAAGGCAATATTTTTTCATACGGACTAGAGTGATAAGTTTATTATTAGCGAGTAGTATGGCAAAAACTAGATTCTGTAAATCAAAATATTAAAAATTGGTTTTTGAGTTTACATTTTTTACTTTAATTTTGCTGCAAGCTCCTACAATAGCTGAGCTGATGTTGTCTCTTACAGATGAGGCAAGTGATAAACATTGTACTGCTCCTAAAGTGAATGAAGGCTCCTTCTCTGAGAAATCTAATAAATGATCTATAAGTCTCTCAACACCTGTTAGAAGTCGTCTTAGGTCATAATTCTGGCGCTGCTCATAAATTTTATTAAGTCTTGTTAAAGTTAAGACACTGGCTATTTGGTTAAATACATAGCTGCAAAAACGAAGATTATAGCTTTTAAATGCTTGTAAATAACAAAATTTTACTTTAATTGGGAATATAGTTGATTAACGCTTTCCTGTGATCTTGAAACTGCTACTAAAATCAACGGTTTCTTAATTAAAAAAACAAACTTTGTGTCTCCGGCATGGATGCTTTTAATAGTGTCCTCATTTGATTGCACAAAACTAACCAATGTTTGCATAACACCAAACAACCAAGCAAGTTTATCTTCGTTTCCATATCTAAAGTACATAAAGTTGTAAAGGCAAAAATTGAAATCAATATATTAACCTTGAATAGATAGGTTTTCCAGCTAAACTAAGTACAAAGACATGTTTCTTCCTACAAGCCCACTCCTTGGATTGCACAAAATCATCCTCGTCGTTGTTAATAGAAAGGTTCTCACTGATGTCATCAAAATTTTCCACATTACTGTTTTCCACATTTGATTCATCATTTTCTGCAAATGCGTTTAAGTTCTTTATTTCCTCGAGGCTCGAGCTCATGTGATCAAAATTCTCAAAAGAGTCGGTGGTAACAAGGACACTCTCGGAGGCTGCACCTGGCTCAACTTCCAGATTCGAAGACATTTTTCTTATGATATTTTTAGTTCATGTACAATTCACAAACATGATTAAGATTCTTTTAAAAAATCGATTGAAAATTTTGTTGGATTTTTAAATTTCAATCCATTGCTCTTGACTTGATTGATTTCTAACCTCAATATGACATTATTTTGACAATTGTGAGCTGTGATACCAACGTAATAACTAAATATCTTTAACTAAAACCATAGTATTTTAGTTATAAGCTTCAGTTAATTTTTTATAAAAAAAATATAAACAAGTTGTAGGTTACTGTATGTATTAATTAGATTATGATTTGTGTTACTTCCATATTTATTAATCTAAAAAAAAAATAGAAAATTTTTTATTTTGCATTTTAAAATTCTTGGTTTTAAACGTTGAAGTTATTATATTCAAGATTCAAGTTAAAATATGTTTCTTTAAATTACCAACTAAAAGCATTTATAAAAATTTAGCATTACCAATCGCCTAACTAATAAGTAGTGGAATTTTAGTTAAATCATCTGTTCAGCTGGTTGCCGAGGTCAACAAGACTTTTATTGTACTTTGGGCGGCGCTGAGATAACGAAAACGAAGTGTGTTTAATTATTAACAAATAACAAGAAAAAGAAATTATTTATTGGTGTCATCGTTCAGTAGGTAAGTTCAACTGTGAGGGAAGAAATGGATGATTTGTTAATAATTATTTAGGTACTTAAATTAATTGATAAAATAATAACACGCAAAGAAGAAAAAACAAATATTTAATGGCTTTTATTTTGTAGGTAAAGTCTGCCCAAAGATATACCGTTGTTACGACCTTTTACCACGATATTCACTCTTTAATATTTCTATTGTCACCCTCTCGACACGGCCCATGCTGGTCAGGGCCGTATTCAAAATATTCTGTTATTTAAGAACTTTAAATAACTAGCGTGCCGTTTTCTCTAAACTTTCTTATATAAAATCGAGTGTGAATATGGCCTTCAATAACAATTACTTTTATATAATATAATACCCAACTGATAGTGGGAAAGATCCAAGATTTGGAAAGATCATTGGTGAAACCTAAGTTTGAGTTTATTTATTGAGGGCTGAAAATTATTTTCTGTGTCTGAATCACCATAAAAGTGATAAAAGTGAAATATCGGTTTAAGGCGTAAAAAACGGTATATCTTTGGGCAGACTTTACTTAAACGTCGTGTTATTTCAATCGCCTTTTTATTACTTTTCATAATGTTTTTTTCTGTATGAAGTATAGTAGGGTATATTTTGGCTATAAATTTGTCAGTGGGGTCCAATTATATTGTTACATAGAATTTTGTTTTACCCATAAATTAAATATTTGTGACCTATTTCAAATTCAACTCAAATTCGTCAATGTGGCGAATGAAATATGCCACGATAATGTGCATACCATCACTTTATAACGCCAACTGAAATCAGTAATTGCTGTTTGTGTATCCTTGTTTTTTGTATTGTCTCGTGATAAATAGAACTTCAATGACGCATCATAATTCAAGTATATTTATAATAAACAAGATTATTTTCATTTTTAGTATGACGGGAACAGTTTAGCAAGTGAATTATCTGCGTTATCGAACAAAATGGGAAGGTAATTTATTAAAACAAAGAGTATAATAGTGTACAATAATTTGGGCCATTTTTTTTAGATTTAAGTATACTCAAGACGGCGGTATTTTAACAAACGAACAACGCCAGTTTTATGAAGATAATGGTTATATTGTGATAAGGAACAATGTTAGTCATGCCTTACTGGATGAAATTGAGTATGTTGACTTTAATTAAATATTTGGAAAAAAAATATTTTTTCATTTTTTATTATAGAGATAGATTTATCAAAATATGTAACAAAGAAACTGACCCAGGATTTATGACTGTTATGAAAGACCCCTCGCTAAAAGGGAAGGGAGTTAAGGGGCAATTTTTAATAAATAAGGTATAATAGTCACCATAATTTTTACGTGTACTTACATTCTGTATTTTAAGATCCAAGATTTTCTTTTCGATGAAGTTCTTTTTAAATATTGCTGCAATAAATCGGTAGTTGATGTTATTGAGAGTATAATTGGTCCTAACATTACGGGGGCCCATTCTATGCTAATAAACAAACCCCCAGATGCTGATCCAAGTGCTTCTTTGCATCCTCTGCATCAAGTATTTGTTTACTTTTACAATAAAATTTAAACTGAGATAAAAATTTTAGGATCTTCACTATTTTCCGTTTAGACCAGCAGACCGAATTGCAGCATCATGGACTGCAATGGAGAGAGTTGATGAAAATAATGGTTGTCTTTACGTAATTCCTGGAAGTCATAAATGGGAATTATACCCTCATACATATCCTGAAGTATTTTACAATTTCTATAGCATTTAATCAAATGTTTATTTTCTTATTTAAGGGTTACAAAAATCGTTTGTATCACGGAGTACAAGGCTTTGATCATTTACCAAAATTGCATGTTGTAATGGAAAAAGGTGATACAGTGTTTTTCCATCCAATTCTTTTGCACGGATCGGGACCCAATCGGACAAAAGTATTTTTTCTCTAATTACTGGTTACTTTATTTTTGAACTGTTTCTACTAGGGTTTTAGAAAAGCTGTATCTTGTCACTACGCTGACAGTAATTGCTACTTTATTGATGTCAGAGGCACTCTACAGGAAAATATTGCTATTGAGATTGAATCAGTAGCAGCGAAAAAGGGGGCTCCTATTAAATTTGTCGTACGTTTTGTTAAAAATTAATAAGAAACTTGAGATTTATGCAGTTAATTTTAGGAACTTTGGAAGGCTAAAAGCCGTTTAGTTAGGGGAACACCTGGAAATTTCCAAAACTTAGACAGCCATTTGTGAAAAAATCAGAACAAATTGTGAGTTTAGGGTTAGTACTTGCAATAATTGTAAATTTTGTATAAAGTATAATCAAAATTTTATATTTTTAAATGTGAAAATAAAGTATCAACATTTGACGATGACTTTCGTTTTTGAATTTTCTTCTGATTCTTACTGTGTTGACGTAATTTGGCAACATGTTGAGGTTTGGGTACTGTAAAACGAAATGTGTAACAAAAGTTTGTTTTGATGAAAAACTTACGTGTTCTCCAGGGAATGTAAACGGCATTTTTTTCGTCAAATATTTCGTCTTCGTTTAATTCTTTACTTTGTTTCAATATACTAATAGATACTGCTTTTTGTATAGCAGACGAATAATTTTTCGATAAATCTGTATTAAAAATTGAATAAGTGAATAAAAATATTGATAATATTCACCTGGAACTTTGTTTGCTAAATTTACACTTTTGTGTAATCTTTGAGCGATCCGTTCTCCGTGAAGCCTTTTTAAAAAATTTCTAGTATGGTCTGAGATATTTTTTTGATCTAATGTGTCTAAAATAAACTCGATGATTATAATTTTAGCACTTGCATTATTATTACACACCTAAACAATACGCATTGGCAATTATTTCTTCTTTATACAGCCGATTTTTACAGATAGGATTGGAGGCAAGAACTAAGTCTTTCAAATAAAACCAGTCTTTTATAACACCACAAACCTCGTCAATATTACTAAGTTCATTATGAGAGGCACTGAACACTCTTAAAGATTTAAGAGGTGCTAAAGATGAGATAGTCTGGATTTTATTGTACGATATATTAAGGATTTGAAGTGTATGCTTTAAAAGAAATAATTAATACTGGAATTTGAATTTAGTTCATACTCACTGATAAGGCGTTAATGCTTCTGGGGTCAAAACACAAACTGTTTCCTTCAAACAAACACTGCTTTTCAATATGGAAAACCTCTAAACTTTGCAAATTTTGTAATCCTTCCACAACACTAATTGTATTATGTCCTAAATACAATTTTTTAAGTTTTTTTAAATTGCTCAAATTTTCAATACGCAAAATTCTGTTGTTTTGTAAATACAAACTAGTCAAATTGTGCGCGTGTTCTAAACCAGTGATTTCGTGAATTTCATTATTATGAAGATAAAGAACTAATGCATGCTGAGGATTTGTAAATTTTGGCTGAAAGTTTTAAATTTATAATTAAACTGGTCAGTCATAAAACTTACAATTTTTTTTAAATATTTATCGTTGAAATAAAGATGAGTTAATTTCTTCTCTTTTGTTAACGAACTTTTTGATAATTTAGAGTCCGCGTTTTTATTTGGGGTTTCCATTTTATCTGTTTTCATCACAAATTTTCACAAATGACAATTCTTGAACTGTCGAAATGTGATGTTTCCTGGCAACCTCAACCCCAAATGACACGTGGATTGCCGGCAGCAACGAAATTATTTAATCAATAATGTTGCATGTTCTTATACAGTAGAGTAATGGCAGTAATGACGAGGTATTATAAGTATAGTAAGTAATAACATAATTAAACCTAGTTAATTTCAAGGAAAAGAGTAAAAATTTTAGGAATGATTAAATCAAATTTAAATTTTCTGAAAAATTTCCATTAATAAGCGCTTTCGAAAGAAATTTATTTCATAACGATTATAAGAAAGATAAACATAAGTGTTGAAAGTATCAAAATGGTATCTTGCATCGGGTATGTGTAAAGTACCTAACTTGTTTTATATAAAAGTTGTAAGTATTTATGATTTTGAGATGTTGCTTTTGTAGATACTTACTTATACCTGTATTGTATCGATTTTCGTTATTTCTCTATAGTTAAGGAATCTTATATATAAGAGTGTTATTAAAAATTTATTGGTCATTAAAGTGTAGTGTCGTAAACGAAAACTTTTTCTTTATATATTTTAATAATACGAGATGGAGTAAATCTCGTTTTATTATCGTTGGGACTTACACCTGTGTGCCTGCGATAGTGCAGTGTATTTTCTACGTCATTGCAGAAAAGTGTCAATTTCCTCCCTGATGTACGTCGCCGGGAGAGAATACGAATTACATGCTTTCCTCTTTTATGGTGCTGTAACTACTCAACTTTCTGTTGGTTATTTAAATTCTGTAGTAGTTTTGATGTGGTGAAAATAGAGTGTATGTAGATTAAGTCAAAAGCGCTTTATTATTAACACACAATTAAGTCTACCTGTACAAATTAGGTTTTCATATACATACTTATTTAACAATGTGAATTTTACACTGGACCGATTAGTATCTACTTTATTGCAAATGTAAAAGAGGCAGGGGAAAAAGTGTAACGACCACACTGTATATTGATTGCTCGTCTAGTGTTGAAACCTACATCTAAAATGATATGAAGACAGTGCGATTGTGTGTAAAGGCACGTTTACACTACGTCCAATTTCTGTTCATTTTGAAAGTGGAAACGTTCCCTAATGTCTCGTTAACTCTTTCCCACGCGCAGATCCAAAAACGAAATGAAAAAGATACAAAAAGCTCATCCTTATTCTTAATCAAGACTATCTACAATCCTAACACAAATCCTTAGAGACCTGCCGGAGCCGTGTTAGAGGCCCAGATGCAGATATTACACACAACTATTATTAATAGGGGCTTTGTTTAAAGAGACGTCGACACGAATCACAAAAAACACCCAAATTAGGCCTTTTCTTCGGACAGATTCGCGTCGTTTGTTTCTTGGCATTGTTCCCTTAATAGCTCGAAGTAGTCAGCCTTATGTTAATTTCAGAAATCACACATTAATTAGTACACAGTGTCTGCTGAAGCAGATATTGTTTTTAGGCCTGCTTCCACTTCATTTATTGACTTTAAACCTCACACTCTCCCACGTTGTGTCCCACTTCTGAATGATTAATTACTTGCAGTCGATAGTCTGTGTTCAGGACTAAATCTGCAACGCAGCCTTTGATTCCATGTTTGTACCTTGTAAAAGACAGAAGGGAGGCGTTTGGCATTCCTCCTACGTAAAGGCCCTCGTTCTCCCCCAAAGATACGCTCATGGGGGGAATTTCGACGGACTGACGGGTAAGAGCGGGCCCGTTGTCAACTATTAAGACAGCGGACGATCGATCTCTGAAATACATTTTCGTCAAAACTCCAAATAATCCGGTCAACGAACAAGCTGTAGAATTACATGGTCGGGAATAGGATTTTTTACTGTTTTTGCGTTAGTTAGGAAGTAAACATAGACACTAACAACTTTTTGTACAAAATTAAGGTTTATAAAATTTTCTACAAGGTGGTCTCGGGTTTTTTGTAGGTATCACAAATTATACCGACACACAAAAAGTGGTCTGTACATTTGACCAGACCCACCTAACTATATGTATTTTGATGCGTTGAATCCAAATCCAAAGTCGTTTGGCCGGTACACCCTCAAATTTTGAGTAAATTACAAAAAAACCGCTTGAATTGAAAAAAAATTGCGAAAAATTGCAATTATAAAAATAGAGACAATTTTATTGAACTAGATGAAGTATTCTTTGTATAAGTATTTCGATACGCTGAAACCAAATCCGAAGTCCGTTTGTCCCCGTGCACCTTTTTTCGCAATTTACGGGCTAAATGGACTTTGGATTTTGATTCAGCGCATTAAAATACATACAGATAGATGGGTCTGAACAAATGTATTTTTACAGACCACTTTTTTGTGTGCCGGTGTAATTTTCGAGATATTTGCTAGCAAATATCATTCTCTAAAAAAAATATTAAGAATTAACGTAAAGATAGTTGTAAGCATTGTGATTGGGCAGTTCAAGGGCGGCCATCATAATAATGTAAAAAACCAATCACTTTAGATTTTTGGATTCATTGAAAAATTTGATGCAATGATGTGATTGGTCCATTTGAGATCGGCCATTATTATAATGTGGGTAACCATAGAGAAACCAATCACTTTAAACTTTATAGATTCATTCAAAAATGAAGGGAAATTATTAATTCAAATTTGCATTCCTAAGATAATTGTAATTTTTAGGTAATGAAACTGTACCTTTTATGCGCTCTCTATTAAATTTTTATAAGTATAACTTTTGTGACGGAGAATTTGATTGCGAATAAAACCTTAAAACAGAAATAGGAATGTATAAATAGAAATATAAATTGATGATGAGGATACGAAAGTGAAATTATCTTCGAATCTGAACATTTGCAAGAACACGGTGCACTGTTTTATTCCAGTTGCAGAGACCTATACAGTACAATTTTTATAATCTACAACCAACTTCCGTCAAAATTTTGGATGTAAACTTGATATTTAGGTTGTACCTATAATGTGTTTTTTAAAGAATGCGGTACCTAAGTATTTGCTAGCGGATATCTTGAGAAACTATTTAAGATTCAAAACAAAGAAACACAAAAAAATACTGTCTCATAGAAAATTCCTATTAACACTGCACCGTTTTCGAAATAAAGGTGAAAAAAACATAATGCATCTTTGCCCTTCGAAGGACTTTTAGTATGTTTACCTCCTAACCAGTTCAAACACAGCCCCTGAAATCATTTTTTTAGAACCATGTATTCTATAACCCTTTTTTGAGTGTTTATTGTCTAGACTAAACCAACATTTATGTTGGTTACCTATTTTTATCCAGTGCGGATTTAGACTTTAGAGATACAATAATAATGGGTCGTTTAATTAAAATTCTCAACAATTAGATTAAATACTCGCACCGCAGAAAACTAATCGTCTATATTAGAAAACTTGTTAAAACTTCTAAATACTTTCGCTTCGGTTATTTTGTCTTGACTAGCGCAAATGAAGATTTTCCAAGTACAAAATGAGTCGTTCATTTGTCATCATATGAAATTCCTTGAAGACGAGCGCTGTTTGAATAATTAACGGTGTCGCAAGATAAAATTACAATGGCGAAGAAATGTTGCCTCATTTTAAATCCCCACCAGTGGAACGTAATGAAAATAAGTTGTCTTCTTTGGAAAATGAAAGAAAGAAGTTTGCTTTTACCTGACTGCTTTGACCCTGTGCCAGAGATTATCATGGACGGTAGTAGAATTGTGCACGACGACTACTTCTTCTCCCCTAACTGTAAACCTCAACACTAGCGCGCCTTCCTCCAGTCCCAGCGATAGGAATCCGCCATAAACCGAATTCATCCAAAGCAATAATCCACTTTCCGATGACACTTTAAAGCGAACATTAACATCCAATGGATCAGAACTCAGTGCTTCCAGAGTGAAAGGTTCGTTATAGTGGAGATAGCTGTCGGTGCCGCGGAAGGCGGGAGGTCCTCGTGCGCACAGCTGGTCTCTGTACCCCGGCTTGCATCTGAAATGAGTTATCGAGCAAACCGGAAAATTTCCGGGCAGATGATTACCTGCAAGTGAAGTAATCGAGTTCGGGAACGCATTCGCCGTCCTCCCCACAGGGCCGGGCGATGCACGGATGAGGGCAGTTATCGACGTTGGCGCCGCCGAGGGCTTCCGCCAAGATGGGGACGGTCCTGCCGTTGATCCTGACCATTTGTACACAGCCGATGAAAGCAGCTCGGACGCGGACTTGGGGGGAAACTATGCCGAAGTTTGGCACGCCTCCGAGGTAGAGATTGAGCGGGAGGGAAAGTTGGGTGAAAGCGCCGGGGGACAGGATTTCAGAGGGCAACTGGTTGTCGACGGACAGGATGGCTAAACGACCAGTTCTGGATACACGAACCTGGAATATTTTAATGCAATAAAGTCGATATGATGATGTCTATATGAAAGATGAAAAAAAAAAAGGGGAACTAGTAGTAGAAGAATTACTTGCTGCTTAACTTATTTTATTTAAGCATCGTTTTATTTTTTAAACTGAATGTTTGATATAAATTTCCGAGTCAAATTTGTTATAAAAATAAAGCTGAATACTTTCTACTATTTATTTGTTAATTTAGTAACTTTAGTCATATTTTAATTTATGTTATTACCCACTCTTTTATTAGTTATGCAAATGCTTCAGATTGTAATTTGTTAGGTTTTATTAATTTCAATAAATCTTTATAGCTTTAAAGCTATAAAATTACTCTAAAGTAATATAATTCGTTATGAAATAATTAAAACACCTATTATAAATTATAAAATAACTCTTTGGCAAATAGTTAAGACAAGACAATAATTTTTTTACTTTGACTTTGTTACTAATGAATGTTTTTATTATTTACTCGTAGTTCTCATCAGTTATCAGAAAGACTAAATTGAAGACATTTCATACACAAACTTTACGAAGTGCGTACTTGTAGTTACAAACTGAAACTCTATGTACATAGTTAGAGAGCTGTTTAATTAAATTTGTAAGTGGGTTTGTAAGTTATTGTTCTTATGTACAAATATGTAATTATTATAAGATTTATAAGTTATAAGAGTAGAGTAATAAGTCGTACATTTATGTTTTTCTAATCTATTCTTTGCTTAAAATGTAGGAGTCATAAAAGAAAAAAGAAGCAACAAGGTTTTTTAATGTTTTATGCTGTTAATTTTCCATTTCCTTTGTATTATAGAATTTCGTATTCAGGTGCTTTTTTCCATAACGTGTGAAAATTCTATAATTTAGGTACTTGTTTGTTTAAAGTAATAATTGTTTCCACTCATTGGACGAATTTGATATTCGTGCGGAGACGCAATAAAAAATACTTTAACCTTGTTATTGTTTCCCTCTTCTAGCGGCAGTTTATCTACCTCAAATTATTTCCTTTGAAATGGGTTTCTCAAATTTGATCATCGTTGAAAAATTATCTTTGCATGAAATGATTGAGGTTACTAAAAGTATCCGCAAGTTTTGTGCCGCGGAGCTGCAGCCCGAACAAAGGAAATTGTTATCGTTTCAACTTTTCTTATTCTGTTTAATTTTTTGCAATCTAAGATCAGTTTTGGTAGGTATTGGTGGTTTGTAGGCTAATTGCTTGGCTGAATTCAAGTGAAATGCATTGCGATTTGATGAATAATTGATAGCCATCGGATTCATCCAAGTGTAATCGCTTTAAATTTATCAACGAAAGCTGGGAAACTATGCCACTGAGGCAAGAATGTTGCATTAAGCTCAGCCACAACGTTGGAAACGTGTTAAATATTTGATCGTAGAAAAAAGTTTTGCTAACATCTTGTTGAAATTTTTAAGGAAAATCCTGATTTTTTGGAGAAAAGTATTCATTTATCTTCTTTAAGTCGAAAGAGGTGGTGTAAGAGTGTGATGTTTTTACAGTAGTGAGGTAAGTAATGAATCGAAGGAGTTAGTAAACTTATACTTATTTTGTTACTACCTTAGGCTGATTTAACTCAATTGATGACATCCAAAACTTATCTAATTACTTTCGTTAAATAAGATTCATTAAGTTCTGTTGACTTTAAGGACCGTAACCTTGTATTTCCTGTACTAGATTGCTAACTCAATTATCAACGAAGTTTTTTTAAACAAATACATAAACGCTAACGTGTCTTATTCTATTCAATAAATCAAATTTTTTATTTTAAATATTTGTAAAGGTTACTTTACTTTTTTTAAACAAGTTAAAGCCAAATTGAACTCACTCTATGCCATTCTCCCAAGCTGATTCTGTGTTGACTCGTGACAAATCCGGCTCCAGTTCCTAAATCATAGGCGAATTCCATATACCCATCACGTAAGTAAAGGGCCATGAAGTCGCCAAAACCGTCTCCTCGATGTCCGTTGTACAATATTAATCCATTTGGCGATGTAGGTTTTAATGTAATCTCGAAATCTAGCCATGTTAAAGCTTCTTCTCCCAATCCTCTATACCTCAAATGACTGGATCCATTAAACGATGGGACTTGTAGGTCGACGCGAATTTCACACAAGTCTCCGGAAAATCCCAAAGGACATAAACAAACAGCTGAATCTTCGCTGGTCAAACATTTGCCACCGTGTTGACATGGCACTCTGCTACAACGGTCGGCTGTGCACTCTTCTGCGAAAGCAGACCGAACAAAATATGAATATTTACATTCGAAAATTGAAACAAAATAGGAAGAGCTCATTGTTAATTTAGCAATTTATTGCCGAAGGCACAAGTCGCGTAATAAATCATACGAATTAAAAAAACATTTGTCTTGGGAAAGAGTTTGGAAGGTACAGAGATTTGCAGTGACAACCAGTGAAATCGTGATAACTAAATGGAGCGGTTTTTTGAGCCAGGTTTGGGCGGATTTTCAGCATTTCTCATTAATTTTATGCCAGGTGCCATGTTGTTCAGTGCTTTATTTTGCATAAAGGGTTTGATAAGATAAATTGGTGCAAAGTGTAAAAGAAGGCAATTAAACGCCCTTATTAACATCTGGGCTACAGGGTTTGGATTAAAATCCAATCCTGTGCTAAATTACACAAATAAAACAGGATGTCTGTTGTCTAGTTTATTAAAAAAATATGGCTACAATCAGTTATCCAAAATTGTGGATAAATACAATAGATATTGGCATTTTACAATGAAATTTATTTCTTTACAAATGTTACATCCAAATTTCCAGTTTCAAAGTTTGGTCCTAAAATTTCTTATTTAATATATATAAGATATATCGACTTTGAGACTCTAATTTATGAAAATGTTATTACAGCTGAAGCCAAATAGTAATGCATTGTTGACACACTTTGGTACATTTTTTTAACTAAATAGAACGTCTAGACTTATTGATTTCTTTTAATTGTACACTTGTAGGTATTTACTGCTTTTTCAACAATAATAACAAGAATTTTATAAAGTTGCGCGAAACTTATTAAGACTTTTCTCAAATTTAAAAACACTTTTTTACTTCAACAGGATGTAATTAATGTAATATCAATATTGCATACATAGTTCTAAATTAAGTATTATTATTAAACACGATGATTAAGTTATTATTTAGGTATTTATAATAAAACAGTTGATTTATTAATAATAATTATTTGAACTTTGTGACACTAATTTTGCTTAAATAAATTAAAAACAAGTCATTTAACTGTCTAGTTTCTGATTAGTAATCACCTAATCAGTCATTGAGAAATTTCTTAACGTCAACTGATAACTGTTAACTGATACTTGGCTTATAATGTTTTATTCCACTTTATATTCAAACGAAAATAAATATTTTTGTTATTAAAAAACGCTTGACTTTTAATCTTAATTCGTATTCAAATTTTCAAAATTAATTTAATTGATTCTTCAAGATGGAAGAGTACTTACATACATTATGAAATGTTTTTGACATATACTCGTTTTCATATTAATGTGCATCGAAGTAGTCGTTGAAAGGGATCATTTTAAGGTGGCAACCATGCGAAAATTCAAACAATCCTAAACTCAATCTTCCCTAAAAATATTTTTTTTAAATAAATGTGTACCCCATGTAGCAAAAAATAGTTAAAATTAACAACATAATCAACATAGGATAGCAAACATAAAGATTTTTGTCATTATTGATGTGATTAAATTTGTTTTGAATGACATTAATGACACTTTTTGTGTAAATCGAACTTTAAATTAAAGATTCATTTAGACTTCTACAAGCTACTTGATGCACATTAATATGATAAAGAGTATCATAGTAGTATTAGTATATGATCAAAAAGTCTGTCTATCAAGCAAGCCTAGAAATTTAAAACGTGTGTCTGTGGAAAATAAAATGTCACAACGACAAATAAGAAATGTCAAATTATTTTTTTTGTAAATGTAGCAGCAAATCGTGGTAATCGATTTGTATGAATAAACACCAACTACATCTCATTTTAGGATGTTTTAAAAAGATGTTTTATTCAGTAATTTAATTTGCTTAGCTCAAGATTTTAATTTTTATAAGATAAAATTATTTTTGAACATCTATATACTAGAAGAATCTATATAGAAGATTTTTAGCTAAGCATAAAAATGAATTCAGATTTTTTACGTTTTTTAAGTCTTTTTTTGAGAAAGAACAACTATCAATTTCAATATTATTATGTAGGAATCTTAGCTCTTTTGTTTCCAATGTCGGATTTGATTTATTGGTAAATTTGCAAGTTTCTTAAATGTTTTGTACACCATAAGACATAAATTGGTGATTTTTTTCAACAGGTCTCTGTGTTGCAAAATCTGCTTTTTTCCGCTAACTAAAGTCAATAAAACTTAACCCAAAATCTAACCTTTGAAGAGCTAGCTATTCTCGTGAAAAAATGTTCAAACAATTTTTTGTCATAGGAACTTTTAACTCAGTTGGATGTCTTTTACCACCACCCAAGAGATAGACACTCTATATAACTAAGAAGAAAATAAATACATCAAACTGACATGGATTTATGAACATTAAAATTGATTGTGTTTTTCAAGCATTTACACAAAATGATGGTCTTCTTTTATTCTTTATTAAAATTATTATCATAAACTCCATATACTTTTTGATTTATGACAAACAACTTTTTCTTTTATGAAGTTTTATGTCACATGATAGCTCTAATTTTTTTACGATGATGAATGAGTCTTCATAAAACTAAAAAGAGGAACTGATGGAAAGTATATAGATAGGAAAAATTTTATTGGAAGATATTATATTTTTTGGAACATTTAAGTTCTTTTGGTATTGATATGTAAAAAACTTATTAAGTTTGTTTTGATTTCCTCGTATTCTAATTAAATTCAATAATTACAGCATGCATAAGTTTACATTTTTTTCTCTATAGAAAGCAAGAACAAACCTATAATTAACAAAAGTCGTGTTTTATTTTTTGTTAACGAGCAAAATTCATTGGACTCTAATTTTTATTTATTAAAAGAGTATTAATTAATTTGTTATTTATTGAAGAGCAAAAAATGATTATGGTTGGAAATAGAATTATGACGGACAGTCTAGATATGGTCCATGTTATCAGTAATTGACGGTTTGCTTTAGATCGGCCAAAGGATTAATCGGGGATTGGTCGAGCTTGCAAAATGGGCTTTTGGCGACTATGTAGAGCAACTGTATGAAGTGTATTATCGTTAGTCGAGTTGATTCCCTTTAATTTATAGTTTATTACATGCCGGAAACAATTGTTGAGCTATCAGATTAGGTATTTGTGTTCCGGACAGAATAATCAATAAAGAGTTAATAAATGTAAATATGAAGAATGCTATCATAAAACGGCGACATCAAAGACCTTCGTGGCATCATAAAGCTAAGTGTCGTAACTTGGCAAGTTTCATTTAGAATACAGTGCCGTATCACCGCTTTTTTATATTCAGGTATGCATTAAGTCTAGACCTTTTATAAGAATAAATCTACATAATGGTATTATATCGATAATATGGAAAATACTTCATACACACGCAAAAAGGAAAACCAGCCAATTTCCATTCAAATTATTGAAGACATGTTCCAGAGGGTGACCCTCTGAAGTGCCAAGTCGGCCACACGATCAATTTCCTCTTCATCATAATTTTTCCGTAGCTTTAGTGTCACAGTCCGGTGCTAAATTCAAGTGTTTATAGCGATGTTTGTTCGATTTCTAAACTTTTGCTCGAATTATAAGCGAATATGAAAGGGGCTTCCGGGATGATACTCGAGGGAAACGATTTAGATTGGATAAAAAGGTTTAGCGGATATGTGAATTGAATGGAGAATTTATAAAAGCTAATAGACCGACTTCTTCGGGCTATCTAGGACGGATTCACCGCTTTGATTGTAGGAGGAGTTCTAATTTATGCCAACCCGAAACCATTTGGTACTAAAGCATCAAAAGTTTAATTCTATTTCAGACGTTATTGTGGAAAACGGAATTAAATGTTTGAATTCCCTATTCGATTTTTTTCTTTATTTGGACGCACATTTTTTACTTTATTTCAGAAGTCTGCTATAACTTCAAGAAAAATAGTATTACATGATTTACAATCTTTTGTACTAAACGAAATAATAAAATGCTGAAGGATGAAAATTTACGATCAGACTCTGGGAGATCATAAATATAATTTTATCACTGCAGTAAGATCATGATTCAGGTATTGAAACAAAGACGATTTGTAACTTTTACCTAATCATGTGAAACATTTTAGCTACCTTTTCATGTTTAAACCAACTCGGAATGAGTTATTAAAAAAAGAAGAAATGAGCAAGGCTTTTATAAAAACTGATTTTCTCTAGAACTATTTGAAATTACCAAAAACAGAGCTTTCGTCTATTTTTTGTTTCACTGCTGAAACGATTCTCCTGATAGCGATTTGATGCTTAAGAATAGCGTTTGTATTGTTAAGGATTAAAATACCCGTAAAAACAACGTCGGAAGTCTTACCGATGCCATATCCTTTGGAAGCTTCCCCATGTGGTTCGAGGGCAAATTTATAGACATGGTCATTAACTTCTAAGTGCCGGATGCACCCCTTCAACCCAACTGCAACCGGTAGCTTTTCAGACAAACCGGTGGTGTTGCCTCCACCTCCAATAAACAAGGGTTCTCTGAAGGTGATTCTTGAGAACAGCCCTTTTGAACGTCCTTGAACGTGTTTCCCACCGTTCAATTGCAGCCACGCATCCCACCTGTGCCTGTATAACGTGATATGGTTCCATTGATTCAACAGCACTGTCTCTTCGGATCGCACAACTCCGACTCCGGAACCGCAGTCAAATCTGCAAAAACAGTACCAGAGGTTTAGTAACGTTATTTGCGCATTATGGTAGACAAAAGTAATGTTAATGTCTCGCGCGATTGTACATTTAACCGCAAGAGGCGGCTGCTTGTAAACTACAACTTCTGAGTAGTGCCGTATTTATGAAGTCAGCGGATTCTGCTTGGTAATCCGCGGACTTCCTGCTTGTTTTACACCGCAGTGGTTGCCGCTGTATGTTAGAGCTTCCAAGTGAAATTCTAATTAACTAACACGTTCATTATGTTACGTAAACATTTGACTTGCCGACGATATACATTCAGGATGAATGTCACCAGTTTTGAAATTAAATCGCTTAATTAATGCTTTCATGGTTTGTCTTCGGAGTTATTGTTTTTTGAGGAAATTTAATCCACTTGTGAAAATTAAAATTGGTTCCTTCAAAGCCAAAGCTTGTGTCTTCAGTTGAAAGAGCATATTATCAAAGACAAATTTGTTGTCATTTATTAAATGCAAATTTACGTAAAGTGAAATAGAATAATAATTTTGTTTAAAAATATGGAAAAAACTTTGCAAAATAAGAAATTGATTCTGTATTAAGAATATTAAGTACACCAATACATGTTTACTAACCTAAACAATTATACAATTATACAAGGTGATTCACGAGGAATAATGAGCCTGACCTAATTCTCGATGCAATCACCATTACTCTTCTCAAGTTATTTTGCGACAATTGTAATGTTGGTTGCATCGAAAATTTGGTCAGGCTCATTATTCCTCGTGAATCATCTTATCTCTGAGTATTTGACAAAACGTTTGAAATAATTTGTCACAACAAAAGCATTTTTACCTCGTTATGTAATAAAAAAACTTTCAATATAGATAGAATAAAGAGGAAACAATGAATAATAATTATAAACTTTATAATAACGAAATACAAATTAATGACGTTTTGCTTTAAAGCTTATAAAATATTTATTACTTATACATTAAAATATCAAATTGAATTTATCATTAAAATAAATAAAAATATAAACTGCAAAATTGCTGGTGACTGAAATCCACTTTAACATTGATACACAAATACGTATGTAAGTTTTTTTTATAATAACAATAAAAAATAGAAATCAAAAAAATAGAAATTTCAGAAATGTGTATTTTTTGCTTTTTTCTATTTTCTTGTAACAATTTTTTAAATGCAATTTGTAACTAAATTATTATTTTGCATAATAATTATTATGTCAATGGAAATTGTTTATCCATTATGGAATTTTAAAATTAAGTTAATCATAATTAAACACAAGAATGCTTTTAGTAAGTTTTCCAAGCATTTGTTATTAATTAAAACGGCAATTTTAAAGTTTGCAAAATTTGACCGACAAACGTTTTAAAATTCCGGCCGAGTTCTAGCAAGCTGTTGGATTAAATTGAAGAAATTGTTTTTAGCTTAATATGAATATGAAACAGGATGTATTGAAAGAACACTTTGCTGTTATTAAAAAATAAATTGTAACTCTGGGTATAACTTTATCACCATACAGTAATTATTTCAGTCATAATAATAATCAGAATATAGTAAAAAAACTGCAAATACACGGTGCGCCAGAACTCGCGCCCCAGAGAAAAATGCCATATAACGTAAGATATCAGGAACGTGGAAAAAATGTTAAAAAAAAATATCTATAAGAAATTCCGAAGTTATGAGAGTTTAAATTTTGCACTTTGACTGTATTTATGTCTGTTGGAAAAATAATTTTCCAAGTTTTTTTGCTACAGGCTATTAGAAGAGGAAACAAGGAATTGTAACTCTATTCAATGGTATTTGTGGCTTTTATTGGCAAAATTTTGTACCTTTACTAAGTAATCAAAAAACATATCGTTAAATTGACATAAAAAAAATGTCAAATGTCGAAAAATAAATGTGAAAACAGACATTTATGACAGATAGAATTTTTTAAACATTTTTTCCATGTTTCTGGTATCTTATTTTGGTTGAAATTTTTCTCTGGGGCGCGAGTTCTGGCGCGCTCTGTATATTCAGATTGAGAACAACACTAATTAGCAAGTAAATGAAGAAAATAATCAGGACAACAAACATCGCGCGTCAGTATCGAAATTTATGTTGAGATTTTAGTGTTTATTATATAAAGTGTTTATTAATTTAACTAGTGCAGTTAGAAGTGCAAATGGTGGAATGTTGGTGATCTACAATGTACCGCTCTAGAATTGCTGAAGCAGAGAAAAACACAACATTGGTAAATGTCATGGTAAAAATAAAAACGCAAAAATCAGCGCAAAAATAAAATTTTTACTTCATGGTTGAAAGGTAAAACTTTTACTTGTGACATTTAGTCATTAAAGTGCTTACTTTGTTTTTATTTGCAGATAAAGAACTTTACGTGTACAAAAGTGAAACTTTTATAGTTTTGGTTTACGATCAAAATTTGTAAATTAGTACAAAAACTATTTACAGTAACGGATATTTTGTTATAATTTTATCCCGGCACCTCCACCAAAATTTGAACCAAGTTAAAATTAAACTATTTTGAATTTTAGTTTGCAAAAGTTTATAAAACATTGATAAAGGTTGTTACTTATAATTACAAAACAGCATTGGTAATATTTTAGTAAAAAATAAAATATTTACAAAAATTGGTCAATTGCCACCCAGTACATTCGCTATCCTTTAACATAACACAAAAAAAAGTAAATTTAAGGTTCTTGATATAAAACTGAAATATTTTTTTCTGAAAAACTTTATATATATTAAATAATAATTACATTTCACTCGTATGTAGTTTGTATTTTTTGAAAGTGCATCTCTAGAAAAAGGTTTTGTTAAGTTAAAGTTGAAGCTGTTGCACATTGATCATGTTTTTCATTTGGTGGATTTTTTCGTCGTCCATCTAAATAATGCTGCAACGCGTCAGATAAATGTCGCTTCAAGTCAACTTTGGCCACAACTCATCTAAAGAGTTTAGGAGAAAAGTAATAAAAGCAGCTGAAAGATGTCAAGTTTGTCGAGTCGTTATTGACAGTCCAGTTCTCTCGTTTTATAATTAAAATTTCTCAGATGCACTTAACAAATTAAGCGAAACGTATTGACAAACCTTCACTGATCTAGGAATGTTTGTTTAACTCGTTTCAAGACAAATGGGACAGCTTTGTTTTAAGACCTGTCTTCCTACGTAAACTCTTCAAATTTGCCATGAATAAGGAATTTGACCCCGAGCACGTGTCGTGCGACCCCTGGTGCCGGAATTTGTCGTGTACACACCACCTGCCAGGTATTCGATCAATATTATCGTCTGCTGGAATGCGTGGTTTATGTAAAATCCGGCATTAACTGTTATTACGGTACATTTTTGCGGTTGTTACGTTGCTGATGAATATTCTGGAAAGGCTGGTAACGAGGTGGATTGATTTGTTTTGAGTGGGAGTTGCTCTAATAAATTCATTTTCTAAGCTGTGAATCGATCCACTTCTTTGAAAGGTTTTTTCAGTTCCTGCGGGAAACGGATTTTCCTCGATGCCATTTGAGTCGAGGGGGCAGTAAAGGTTTTTGCAGTAATATAAACAAAATCATCTGGGAGTTTTATTTTGATACAGGCAACGCGTATATCGCGTGAAATATATATTTTCCCGAGGCCACGTTTTACTACTATGACTTTGTTCAAATATTTAAGATAATGGCTTAAGCGGTGTAAAATTTTAGATTGTCATGTTTACAGTCATGATAGTTATTTAATTTAATGTGATTTTATGCAAAAATTTTGTTTAAGTGGTTGTTTGCATAGTAACACATCACAATTGTCCCTTAAAGGACCAAAAGAAAATCTATAAAGCAGACAAATAAAAAATGATGTACAACTCAATAAAAAATTAAAATAAAGCTTTGATTTAAATCAGTTATAGTTTTTTTTAATCAATACATTTAGATACATTTCAAAACATTTTTTATTATTACTGTTGTTAAATACATAAATTATGATGTAATCTTTTGCTTTATTTTTCGCAGTAATAATAGTTAAATTTAAATTTAGCAAACGACCACAGTGCAAAGTTTAATTAACTGTCTTGTTATTATGTAATCTCTTTCCCAGTTGGCTTTTATAGTAAATTTAACTTCTTTGGAGGCGCGCCGTAAACTTTCCTTAAATAGTTAGAATAATAACATTTTTGTTGTAAACTACAATAAATTAAGTTTTTGGTCTATTTACCACGTTATTTGTTTAATAATTTGATGGCACACGTATTTAGCATTGTTTTGTTAAAAGCATTAACAGGTAGAGATTTTACTTAAATAATGTAGAGTTTATTAATTGCATCTTCTATGTTGTCAAGAAATTTTAAATTTCAAGTTGACAAGCTCCGAGACTGTTAATAAAATTAAAAGCTTTTTCTTGTTCGCCGTTAACATGACTTCTTTTTGCAAACAGCAGATTTAATCACATTTTTATTTAACTTTAATAAAATTAATTCTGATTTAAGGTTGAGAAGTTGGAAAATTACGTTGTTGAAGGCGCTGTCGGCAAAGTCAGACAATAGATATGAAGTGGCAACTTGACGCTCTAAAATAAAAGTTTTATATGGCTTTCAGCCGGTATTAAGAGCTAGATCGATCTTGCGACGGGTTGAAAAAGGTTACAGGGTGTTCTGTTTGAGTACTACTTGAAATTTTATGGAGGTCCAAGATTGCAGAGAATGTGAATCGAATACTTATCGATCGATTTGCATGGGAGAGTTGTTAAACCGTCTCTTCAAATATTTAGTATAAAAACACCAAAGCGACCTAAATTAACCGAATTTTAGACACTGTCAGCAGCGTAAGATAATTATCGCCTTCCGTTAACATATCAATACGGAAAATCTCCAAAATGGAATACGAGTTAATTTCGTTAAAGTTAATTTGCATTTCTCGTTCTAGTTAAACATGTTATACAACTGAGACGAAAAAAAATACAAAATTTAATAGTGATATGGCAGAACTACCGATCTTGCAAATTCTGTAAAGTTTTTACACATCAATGGCAGCAGTTAATGGAAACGATTCAAAGTGTCAAAGTAACAGAATTTAAATGCAAAGCAGAGCTACTGTCAACATAGACACACTCTCTATGTTCCCTGTTAATTAGAAGAGAATTTGCACTCTAATTTTATACAAAGAGAAGCAAAGATTCTCTTTAGTACAAACAAAACTATTCAGTGATTATTTTTTATGTACAAAATTGAATTGAATTATATAAAATGATTTGGTACTAAAATTTTTGTGAATTTTGTAACTACAAAACAAAACTATAACAACAATACGAGTTTTGATTTTAATTTAGATAAAACTTACCATTTCAAAAGCAAATCTCCACGAAACAAACTTTAGTTTAAAATTTAATAAAAAACAAACAAAGCAATTACTATACTTAACTTCAGAATTTAATTAAATCTTAAGAACATACTTTGTAATGATATTGAAAAGTTTTTTTATGAGTTTCATTCAGTTCATTAACCTGGCGTAATGCATAATTTTTTTGATTATTTATTTCAATATTTATTTTTAACAATGTAGGCAGGTACATCAAAGTTTAAATATAAAATATAAATAAAAATTTTTTTATTACAAGTTTCTACAATCCTATACCACAGATTACAAATAATTAGTGTCCCGTTTTACGAGGTAATCTTTTTATAGTATGACATTTTACGGTTAAACTCCGGCTTATGAACTAATTAACTTTTAAACGTGCTTACTACCCACACTTTTAAGCTTTACTGTCGAAAAACATGAGTTTAAAAGGTAAATAGTCAATTGAAAAAACAAGTACAAACAAGTATATTAATTTGTTAAAGATGAATTGCGTTGTAACTATAGGATTTAATTTTTAAGCTTGATAATATGAAAGCTAGAATAGCTATAATTAACATTAGTAAGATTGTATGTACATAGTTAGGACTGAGCTGATTTCGGTATTAGGTATATTAATCGAAATAAATGATATGAAATAAGTGATAGACTCTGAATTAAAAAACCACGTTTACATAAAACATTGTTAGAATTTTAGATTCATTGCTTTTAATTTTAACGAAATTATGTGATTAAATTATGTGAGATTTACATATTTGCCATACATATTCTTACAGTAAATAAGTATTATACATTTGTACTGTTTATTTTAGACAAACGCAATAAATTTTGTTTGTGTACTATTAATCTTTTTATACTAGTTAAACATGGAAACACGCGCATTTGGAAAAGATAATGACTTCAAATTGCAGCAAAAATAAAACATCTGCATTATGTATAATTTTTCATTAGTTGGAAAACGCAAATTCATTAAATTACTATTAATTCGCAAGTTAAAATAAAAGCTTAGTTTATCATAACTGTTTCAAATGTTTTTACAATTTATAAACATAACTTTCAACCATAAATATCGAAATAAGTGTCTAAGCATGAATGTTTCGATGCATGGAATTTGTTCAGTAATATGCAATCTCATGTGTGCATACCCTGATGTAGATTATAAAAATAAATAAGCACATATCCGATAACTGCAGAATGCTATCAACTTATAATAATATGTTGCTTTCAAGGCACCTGAAGTCTTGGATTATAAAGAAAATGCAAAATGTTAGTGCAATTTTTCCCATAAACATTTAATTTAGCACATCATCTAGTTTTTGTGACCTTTGTTGTATGTGCATTTTTTCTAATAAATGAGCTTTGCAAAAACGTCTTTTATTGCGATGAAGACTTGTTAATCTAGTTGATTTACATTTTAATTTGGCACGAATTTAAAAAAAACGGATAATTTTGACCAAAAATCAATAATAATTTTTTAAGGTTGAAAGTTTTCAATCTGATAAATTTCAAAGTTAATTAATTACTTTTCAAATACCTTTCAAATTTCCGTTTCAATAGGATTACAAACTTTGTAGAGATCTAATCTGATTCACATCACCCTAAAGCAAAACACACATTAACGTGGCATTATTAATAGACCAAAACAATTTCTGGCTGAGCATAACTGTTAACTGTCTAACCAACTTCCAGGCTGTTAATGATCCATAAACTAGTTTGGTCGGCAACTCTCCTGTTTTCATCACCCTTTACAACCTATTCAAGCCGTGATCAAAAAACTTCACCCTCCACGAAAATGGCAGCTCTTTCATGAATTTTTTAATGAATTCGTGAGTAATTTGGGTAACAAATTAACCAATCGTGTTAATGATGCATCAAGTGTGTTTTCCCGGTTTTCAATTTAAAATTCTCTCTCCGTGTCGGAAAGTTAATTATTAGGGAAGCATTGTTTTTTGGCATTTATGTGTTTTAAAAAATAAAGGATATTGCTTAGTTTTTCTCTCTATATAAAATACGATAAATAATATAATTCAAACAAGCATAAAAGCTTTGTAAAGGAGTTTAATTTCTTGAATTCTTTTGAAATTGACATTACCCTATAAGCTTTAAACTTATGTAAAGATGTTTTTTACTTTTTATGCTGTTGTTGTTAAGTTTGAGTAAAATCTAAATAAAGCACTGTTTATTACAGACGTTGTTTTCTTCCCAAGAATAAAATGAGAGATAATTTTATTATAAAACGTTTCTTCCTCTTGCGTTTAAAGCGCTTTTTTAGGTTTGCTATCAGACCGATTTTTCCCTGGCGACATTTTTCTGTTTTGTGGAAAAATCCACCTGTGTGTTTTATCTCTCACAATGATCCTGTCATCATAAATACCACGAAGATAAATTATCTATCACCGGAAACAGCGACAAGAGACTTACCTAAACTCCACAAATCCTTGATGCAGTAAAAGGGCCATAAAATCGCCAGCCATGTCGTCCCTTTCTCCGGTCAAGAAGAATATTCCATCGTAGGCCTCCGGACGAAGTTCAAGGCTGACCTGGACGTGCTTGTAGGCGCCACGAAGAGCCGGAAACGCAAGCCAACTCGATCCTGTGAACCGCGGCGACCGGATCTCCATTTCTAGCGAAAAAATAAAATTCCGATAGTTAAGAGGCAGTGGCGAACCGGAATTGTCGGATACAAAGTGTCCTCTTGTAAGTAAAGTGGAAACTTTCGCAGTTGACTCAGGAAAAGGATGAAAATGTAGTTAGAATGTCGTCAAAACTTTATTAGACTGCTTGCTCGTAGGTTTACCGTGGCAAGTGAAAAACAAATAGATTTTATTCAATCGATTCTGTTTGCGGAAATATGGCAGCGTCATGGCTCTGCTGTGACAATGTTTGCATTCAATTTACTAACAATCTTCGAGACCTTACATAAATGTCTCGTAAAAGCGACAAATAAGTCAAATAACTGCGCGGACGTGCCGGTCGTGCAATTGTCTTCCAATAAAAGACGACCGAATTATTATTGGAAGCAGATTTGGAGACTCTCACATCTCCCCTCGATCAAATATAGAAGAAATGTTAAATAATTACAGAAGGATATGTGAACAATAGTTCTTGCATTTCATTTTTCTTATTTTAATACAAATTTTTCCATTGCGACAAAATTTTTCATTTTGGTGTATTCTTTTTCTCCCATTCTGTCCTAATAAAATCTTATTTATTGTACACTCGACTTTATTTGGGCTCAAACTTTTTGGAAAGAAAATTTAATTTCCTATCTCGTCTGATCTCATATGAATCTAATAAAAAGGACAGGATTTTTCAATAAAATACGTTATAATGGTTTTACAAATTTATATCGGGGATTACATTTGAACAGTAACGAGAAAATTGATTTTAAAATGTTTTGTTGCGGATCTCATAGCATAGTAAAGCTGAGCTAATTAAATCCTGTTGCAGTTTTCGGTAATTTATAATTTATCTTCCTTTCTAAATAATGGGAATGGGTTAGCACTTTCATACAATGTGGCGCTAATAATAGATTGAATTAATGATTCTGCAAACGGAATGCAACACTGCCACTCATTTATTTCACATTTAATAATTTATTATTTATTATTTTGGGTCTGGTTTAGAGTGGACTGTTTGTCAGCGTTTTACTTCAAATAGGGAGATATATTTTGTGATAGTCGAAGTAAAAACCCTTTATACACAAGTGCGAACCAGTTTTGTAACATTGTGTCAATCACTCGACGACCAGAACACTAGAGTAAACTTAAGTTCACACTTCTATTTCTTTCTAGTTGTAAAATCCACAACTTTTATCGGAGGAAAATAATTGATTTTACGTTGCTCAACTGCCAACATGACAATATTAATGAAAAATTAGCAGTAATATAAACGCAAGGCGGTAAATTAAAATTTCGTTGCAACTGGGTTTGCTACATAAATCATTTTATAGCATCACTTCGAAATAAATCACAAATTCATCAAAATATGGAAAAAACGTCGCTATAATATAATACCGGCTCGACCCGCCACATAAACTTATGTTCCAAATTGAGTTTTGAATCAAATTTCCAAACGATATCAATCAGTTGCACCTAAAGCAAGTTTTCCGGTTCTTCTTTCTTCTTTTTCGTTTTTATAGTTCTAAGTCAAGCTGTTGCTCTCGCCATTTTCGAGTAAGTCTTATGCATGAAAATTTATAGTTCGGGGTTCGTACCCAAGAAGAAATGCAATTTGGGCTATAAATTCACCCTTGCAAAGTTCGACCAGACCGTCGCGGTCATGCATGTTTGAAATTAAGTACTGATTTCATTGAACAGATTCACCATCTGTGTCGTAGACAAGTGTAACGGAAAATTGACTGCTCACTGAAACTTTATTGGATCACGTAGCAGGTAGACGGAAATGCACCGACAACCATAATATTTGAAACGGATAGGAGTATATATGCGCATCGGCATGTAAAGCCCCTAAAAATGCATGGGGAAGAGATTGACAGATGTAGCACATAAACAAAGTAACACCAAATCGAACACTCGGGGGTATTTGCAGGTATTGAGTCTTGAGTCTGTTTGACTGTTCGTGACATGAGTCAAAATGTATTTCCAGCAAAACTTACAGTCATAAATAGTAACAAGTTTGTTATTGATGGTTGTTGTTGGCAAGGGTCGAATCCATCAAATCTAATTGTAATTACTAGACAACAAAAACAAATTTTAAAATAAGAAATTATCAGCAAAATTTACTTGTACCTATTAATTAATTTTTTTGTATACGCTCTCGAAACAGCTGTTTTAGGGACTCATTTAACAAATTTTTTTTTATAGGTGTTGAATCCATCGGAGTTTTTGTGTTTTTTTTACTTTTATACGTTAGTGATTACCTTACAAAGAAGAGATCCATCAATAAAATTAACTTGGAAGAGTTTGAAATACCATAATTTCGATTATTAAGTTTGGGGTAGAATTTAAACCCGAGATAAATTCCCGCTTTCTACGTAACAATAATATAGCGGATGTTTAATCACAACGTTTAAATGTACTCATTTTTGCCATCATAATTATTATTGTATACACAGAACACAGATATTAAAATAAACAAACACCAAAATATAACAGATCTGCAATCTGCATTACCGACATTCAAACAGCAATGAGCGCAAAGCAAAAAAAAAAAGATTATTACCTCACAGCAAGCAGAAAACGCACGTGTTTTGAATTTATTTGATTTTACGAGTTTTTGATATATTTTTTTGTACTAAAATTAAGATTTCAAAAAAAAACGAAAGCATGGGTCAATTATTTTTTAATAAAGATTTACAATATGTAATAAAAAATATGTGCAATGACCCAATTAGTAAGAGGTGTGAGTTCGTATTTTGGGAGCTTTAACAAAAAAATCTTGTATGCACCACGTACGCAAAAGGTTTTAGGTGACTCCTCTCATTAAAGACTCGGCTCCTACGTCGCCTCATCGCCTCGTTAATTACGATTCGTCCCCTAAAACCCTATTTTGCGAAATAGCTATAATTATATTTTACCAACTTTATTATCTTTAATAAGACGCAGCATTTAAAGATGTTAAAAAATCAAAAACAAGTGTACTTACTATTGTACAACCACACCTAAAGTAAAATTTAAAATTGAATTATACTTTTTAAAACTTACATGTTACTGAAAGTATTTATTATTTTCTTTTGATTCCCTACTTGTATTTTGTGTGGAACATATACAATTAAAATAAAACAAAACTCATAGAACAGGATTTTAAAAATTGCAAAAGAAATAGTGAATCAATTTTTGAAAACGAACAAAAATATTTTACTTAGGATCAGTGTAAACTCAAACTGAGTTAAACTAGTAGCGTCAGTGGTATTTAATCCGAGTATTCGTAAAAAAGTTTATTCATTCAATGAATACGAGTACACTAGTGTCCTCATTCAACGGTTTAATGTAATTAGCTTTTTGTTAAATGTACAATAAATGTGAACTCTACCACCTCACATTTTCAAATGACATTTTAACACTTACTAAAGTAAATTGTGATAAGAAGTAAAGAAAGAGTATTGTAAATAAGGCTTTTTAGAGTTGCCAACTCTCTGAAACGATTACTCACAAATTACGCGGAAATTTTCTTCCACTTATAATTAATGCTGCACCATGCAGCCATCCGTAGAGGGATAATAATAATTAGGTTCATATTACTGATAAAACTTCTACGCTTTCCCTTACTCAGGGAAATTGCGTTTGAGTTACAAAGAAAATCTTCGCCAAATAAATCTTGCATGAATAGAAATCTCTCGAGTAGAGGTATACTCATTAGGAAAAATAAATAATTAATTTCATTAACAAATATTATGTAAAATAAGACCATCAAAGCACAGAAAAAGCAGACGTTGTATTGTTTATCGTGATAGTACTGACAGGTTACAATCATATCGACTCTCTCAACGAAAACTATAGTAACTCATAAAAATTGGCTTTGAGTTACGATGGCTTATGTAAGGCCTAAAATACAAAAACAATGAGAATTTTTTTTAATAAACACTATTATTACCAAAACATAGACCTTCAGTAATTTTTAATAATATTAAACAGTTCCTTGATTTTTCATTAACAATCAAAGATTCAATGCAGTTTTTCTCAAAACTGAAAATTTTTAGTTTTCGTTGGGAGAGCAATAATTTTGTGTATATTTTAGTAGTGTTTTGCTGAAACAAAAAGTTTGCTGGATTTGCTAAATTATTGATTTTTACAGGTCCATCGTATCAAAAATACAGCGAGTGATTTTTTTACAGCTTTTTGAATATTTTTCAATAAAAGCCTCCAAATGTATACTAAAGTGAGCGTACTTATATATAATGAATGTATGTTTGTGGAGGAGGGTATGGGCGCTTAGGTATGTCGAACTCTTTTGAGCAAATATTTGAACAAGAATGTGCACTCAACGGTGTTGCAATTTGCTGAGCAAATACGGTAACAATTATTCTATTTGTCCGTAATCACGTAACAAAACTTGACGTAAAAAATGTTCTATTTATTATTTTCATAGTTATTGTGTTGTAAAATCTTATTGGAAATAAATCAGGGGAATAATTTTGCAATTCCTAAAAGTTTATTCGCTGAAAATGTGGATCTGCATATTCATCGCGTCCTGAACATGCAAATCAGCTCCCACGTAGCAATTCCAAATTTATTACTTACATGCCGATTTTAACTTTGAGATAATTACGTTACGTGTTAACAAAACGTGACCACTTTCTATGGAATATGCAAAAAAGAGTTTTACATTATTTGACGCAGTGCAAAGTGTGTCAAGTCAGAATTTATTACTTTATGAAAGTTTTATTTCAGTGAAAATTCTTTCATTTAATTTATGCAATACTTTCTATCCATATAAAATCTAATAAAGTTTCTACACTTGACCTAGACATTCATATAACATGTAAATGTTTGAAAAAGAGTAAAATTTCAAATTTTAATATTATTGAAGCGCAGAGCTGTAACGAAAGCAAGTAACATAAAATTAATATCGCTTTAACTTTTATTAATTTTTAATGGTGGATTAATTTTATTGCTTTACTCAACATAATTTAATCAATAATTTAATCCCTATTATTGCTAT